CTCACAGAATAATTAAGAGGATATAATAGGCTGCAGTCAGTATGTGGAAACAGCTTCTTATCAAGGGAATCTGGGTTCCAGGGCCAATTCTGCCACTAACTTGCTGTGTCTTTAGGCAAGTCTCCTACCTACTCCAGATTCACCTACCTGTTAACTGAAAGGTGGCCTGAGATCATCTCGAATTCTTCCAGCTCTACTATTCGATGATTCATGGTGCATATGAAAACCCAAAAGAAGTTTATCTCTGGGGGAAAGAAATCTATTGTCAACCGCAAGGTGCTGTTCAAATACAGGCATGTGGCTTTCTATCTGGTCTTAGATAGAAATTTATGTAAAATGGCTGTGAGAGTTGGAGAGCAGAGAGACCAGCCTCCAAAAAGGTGTGCTCCCCGGAGTCTGTCTGAACCTCCTTGTAGCTCTGATAGAGCTGTCTGCTAACTTTAGGAAGGCCTGCCAAAAGTGACAGCTGTTTATGAAATAAATTACCTCAGGTGGTGTAAAAGCTCAGTGGAAACCGCAATCACACACACATCCTGTTTGCATTTACCTGGGCACTGTCGACTCCTCCATCAGGGCCCTGCTCTCTAGGTGGGCTGTGCAGGGGCTGGGGCAGCTCCTCTTCAACCATGAAGGTGGCCCACTGAGCACCAGACTCCTCCCTCTGCAGTCCTAGAAGAGGCCTCAGCTGCAGGACCCTGAGACAGAAGCAGGACCAGGAGGGCTGTGGTGTGGTTCTGATTGGTGCTGGTTACTGAGCTTGGAACCATGGGCCCTGGGAAGGCTGAAGCAAGAGCAGCCAATGGCCAGGGACCCAGATCCCAGCAGACACATAGAAAAGTAGTGGAGAAGGGAAGATAGTGCAAGACAGACATTTAAGAGGCATCACTTTACACAGCTCTGGAGATGGGATGCTTTGAAGAACACTGTCTCTAACCTTCACATTGAATCACATCTCCTACCTCACCTCCAGGAGAACCTCTTCTGATAGTTCTTTCAAATGGAATTGGAGTCGTAGCTGCATGCCGGGCACTGTACTAGGTGTTAAGGCACCGTTCCCCATCCCATTTTACCTATTCAGCAGCCCTCTGATCACAGTGGGTGCAGCTATTCTTGTTTGCAAATGAGGAAACTGAAGCACAGAGAACTTAAAAGACTTGCCCAAGGTCAGAGAGCTCTGTCTCAGAGCCAGCTAAGGTCCAGGTTCTCCAGGAGGTCCTTAGATGCCTCTGCAAACACACTCATCTTGGGCAGGAAGCTAAGCATGTCAGAAGGAGAGAGAAAATCCCCAGCAGAGCCCTAATCTTTGGATAGATGAGCATGTGAAGCCTGGGGAGAACCTTGGGACAGGGCACACAGCAAGACCCCAGATCTGATTGAAGGAAGAACCTAGGGGCCAAGACAAGAATATTTGAAACTGGAAGGGGTCTCAAGTTCAAGCTGAAGGGTTCTTAACAGAAGAGGAAGTAGGGAGGGGAGAAGAAGAGGGTATCAGGACTGTATATTGGGAAAGGACTCTGACACCAGTTCCCCTGGGGAAAAGAAGACCCTGCCCAATCCCAGACTTCTACACACAGGGAAACTGAGGCCCAGAGATTGAGGGAGGCACTGCAATAAAGAACAAGAAGTACAGGAAGTGTAGTCTCTTAGGATCGAACCATCCTGGGTGTAGCACATGAACTGTGTACACTGGCCAGCAGACTGAACACCTCTGGCCAGAAATGGCATGAATGTGCTCAGAATTTTTCTTTTTCCATCTTGATGAAAATGTTGCAGAACAAAGAGCCCTGCTCCGCAATTTAACTTCCACTTCAGTGTTCATTGCTAGCTTCCTGTACTTCTGGTCCTTTTGTCATTTCTAGCAGTGATGAAAGTTCCTCCCTGTCTGGGAAGCTGAGGGACAAGTGTCCTCCTGGTGTCTGTACTCCACCTTCTTCAGCAGTTGTTGCCCAAGGTTCACACAGTGGCTCAGACACTTAGTTCCCAGCTCAGGCTTCTTTGTCCCATTTCCTCTTCCTTCCCATTTGGAGGCCCCAGTGTCTACATCAGGACAATAAGACGAGAGGAGAGGTGGATGGCCAGGGGCTTGGCTTGGCTGACAATGGTGAGGTGCTCACATAACCAGTCCAAGACCAACTCAAGGGGTTGTCTCCCTACCTCACTGTGTCTCTCAGGAGGAATGTGCAGAACTGTGTGCAGTGAGGGGAGATTGTTTTCCAGGATTCCATAGCACACCAGTGCAGACCTAAGCAGGCCTGGGAGAAAGGGTGTGTGTGCAGGGGTGGGATGGAGAATGGGGCCCCAGGAGCCCTGGAAGTGGAGACACGCAGAGCTGCTATGGTCTAGGCCCAGCCCAGAGCCAGCCAGATAGATGCAGGCTGGAGAAACTGACTCTGGGGTTGATGGCCACAGCTCTGGGCAGGTGGATCTGAGTTTGAATCTCAGGTCTGCTGCCCCAAAGCTGCCCAGCACATTGGGCAAGTTCCTGGGCCTCTCTGAGGCTGCTCTGTCTACTGAGAAGCATTTGGCAAGTACCTCCTAAGTGCAAGGTACAGTAGCAAGTGAGAAAAAGCAGTTGCATCCCTGGGGAGAGAGAGCCACTAATCAAATCATCACAAATCCATGACAGTGCTAAAGGGGACAGTAATGGTAGCTACCAGGTGTGCTGTGTGGGGAGGTAAAAAGCATCTAAGCACATGGGAGACTTGAACGCAGCTGTTGTTAGCCCAGCTCCTCAGATGGCATCAGGTGGAGTTGAAGAATGGGAAGAGTACTTTATATTTGTACAGTGCTTTGAGGTTTTAAAAATATTTTCCACACGCATTAGTTTGTGCAGGCCTCCCACTAACCCTGGGAAGTAGGTGCTTTATTTCCCCCAATTTCTTGATGAGGCAAACGAAGCCCAGAGAGGTTAAGTGACTTCCTCAAAGGCTCCAGCGAGATCAGGTGCCAAACCTCGGCGCAAGCAGTCTGTGTTTCACACTCCCTCGGCTGCTAAAAGGAAGGGCTGGGAGCCCCTTTGAGCCCTGAGACAGGAGCGGGTGGAAATGAGCCGGGTCTCCCCGCTTCCCTCTCCGCGGGCCGGGCTGTGCTCCGAGAAGGCAGTCCCTCCGCTGCGTGACCGCCCCTCCCTCCCGGGCCCGCGGCGGCCAAGGTCGGAGGACTCCTGGGGGACCCCGGCCGGGGCTGCGCGTCCTTTCCTTCCAGCCCACGCTGCGCTTCCGGAGGGGTCTGGGCTGGCCTTCTCCGGCCGGGGGGCAGGGGCGCCGGGCAGGCAGCCCGGGACGGAGAGCGCGCCCCCTTCCTGCCCCTGGACGCGCGCAGGCAGCGGGGCGACGGCGCTGTGGTTCCTACCGAGCGGGCATTGGGAGCCCGGGAGGAGGGCCCTCTCCGCCTTCTCGGGTTCTCGCCACCGTGGAGCCCACTCGTCCTCCAGCGGGGGCACGGGGAGCTGGCGGACGGCGCCCAAATCGCTTTACCGGGCGCCTCCCCGCCCCCGGCCCTGCTCCCGGCTCCCTGCGGTATGGCGCGGGGGCGCAGGACGTGGAAACTGACCACAGGGGCACTGAATACAAAGCAGAAGGAAGTGCTGACAAGGGAACCGGCGGGCCCAGCTGGAACGCGGGGTTGACGGGGCCCCCACATTCCAGCCCTGCTCCGCAATTTGGCTGCTTAGCCGGGAGTCGGGGGGGCTTCCCTGCCTTTTCCCACCCGGTCAAAAACCCCACGCCCAGCGCCCTCCACCCCGCAGGTCAGTTTAGACTTGGCTCGAGTACAGAGAATCTCCCTGCAACACACCCAACCAGATGCAGAGGGGGTCATGGAGGGGACAGGGGTTGGGGAGCAGCTTTCAGTAATGCACCCGACACTGAGCCATGGCCTCCAGGTCTGCAAAACAAAGACAAAGAAGTGAAAGCTAAATTTTAGAGCCCCGCATGAAAAATGGTTCCTGTAAGCATTCATGGCCACATGGCAGCATTGTTAACTGTGTAGATGGGTTGGTCTCTTTCCTGTGCACCTCTCCACCCACCACCACATGTAGAGGTAGAGCCACAGCTTCCCCTGCCCAGGACATCATGATACAGTCCCTTTCGAGTCCCTTGCATTTGTACAGACTCTACAGTTTGTAATTATTTCCTACATGTATTTCATTTGAACAGTGGGTGAGTCAATCTGCTTGGGTTTGCCATTCGCTGGCTGGCTGAACTGGGTGATGTTGGACAACTTGCTTAACTTCTCTGTGCTTAGTCTTCTGGTCTTCAAAATGGGGCTAGATTGAGCCCCTGCTTTGTCTACCAGCCTTTTTCACGGATGAACTTTCCGAATTTGGCCCTTCCAGTGCTAAAGGGGGAAAGAAGCTTAAAGCAACTCTTCTCAATTTACTGCACAAAACTCTCCAGGGAATCTTGCTAAAGCAGATGCTGATTCAGTAGGTCTCAGGTGGGGCCTGAGATGCTGCAAGTCTGATCAAGTCCCTGGCCACCTACCCTTTAGTACTGAGGTCTCAGAGCAGTGTTTTGTAAACCTGACCTTGCATCAGAAGCACATAGGAGACTTGTTAAAACAGATCGTTGGGCCCCACCCCCAGAGTTTCTGATTCAGGAGGTTTGCATTTCTAACAGCTCTCAGGTAATGCTGATGTCACTGAGGACAAGGAATCTCTGTTTAGAGCATCTTGCACCACAAGCTTACACCTAGTAACTAATGTCAAGTTGGGGGTAGGCTGGGTAGCAGAGGTCACTAAATAGCCAAGGGCAGCTTCCTGTGCTCTGGGAATAAGAAAAGTGGTGGGGTGGGCAGAACCTGAACTAGGGACCCAAAGAACTTCCCAACTCCCAGGGAGTTAAAATGCTAGCAGGAATGATAAAGGGACAGTGTGGTTTCTCTTAACATCCATTAAAAATAAGAGAGTCAGGGACAGGCTGCACTGGTGCCTTAGGACAAAAGAAGGAACCAAGCCCCCTGTGGCTCACATTGTTCTGTGCGGGGCCCTCTCTCCCCAGACAACCAGGAGAGCCGAGGGAAGCTGGAGGGCGGCAGCAAGGCCCGCAAGGAGAGGACGGCCTTCACCAAGGAGCAGCTGCGGGAGCTGGAGGCCGAGTTTGCTCATCATAACTACCTGACCCGGCTCCGGAGATACGAGATCGCCGTGAACCTGGACCTCTCCGAGCGGCAGGTGCTGCCCAGGGGTCCCTCCTTTTCTGGCCACCCTTCCTTCCTCAGCTCTCTGATTTCCTTCCTTTCCTCCCCTCCATTCCTGACCCCTCTCCTTTTTCATCTCCCTCTGCCCCTGTCCAGTGGTTCTCAACTGGCTGTACCTGAGAATCACCTGTGGAGATTTTAATAACACTGGTGTCTGGTCTCCACCCCTAGAGATTGTTTTCATTGGTCAGGGATGGAGTCCAGGCATCAGAATTTTTCAAAGGTGTCCCAGGCGATTATGTGCCACAGAGTTGAAACCACTGATCTGATTGTTACCAAATTTGACAAGCATTGGAGTCACCTAGGCCCCTATTTAAAATGCAGACCCTGGAACTCGAGAGAGCGATTTTGTACTAATACTGAATGGGACTGGAAATCTGCATTTCTAATAAGTTCTCCAGGTGATTCGGATGTACAGCTGGCTCCCTGGCACACTATGAGAAAACCTTCCCAGCCCTTTGTTTTGGGCTCTCCATCAGAGCATTCCACCCAACCCATGCTCTGGCACGGAGTACTATATAATATAATATTGATAATATTTGATAGTCGATCACACAGCTAGAGTGCAGGTTTTAGAATCATAAAACTTAGATTGAAGTCCTGCCTCTTCCACTTCCTAGCCCTGTGAACTGTGAACATGTCTCCTAACCTCTCTGGGTCTCCATCTGTAAAACAGGGTCAGAACCCCACCCTGCAGGTGGTATTGAAACTCAGGTGAGGGAGCGTACAGACCTAAGCTGGAAAATGCTTATAAATGTGCCTAAGGATGAGGCTGGTAATCTTCGGCTCCCAGACCCTTGGGTAATAGAAGCCAGAGCATGGGGGTGTTGGCACAGGAGGGGAGGGGCATGTGAAAGGGGGTGGAGCCAATGCAGAGTGACTTTCAGAACCCTCTTTATCTGGAGGAGCTACATTTGCCTCTGGGCACATTGGTGTGCGCCCCCTTTGGTCTTGATTCCTAGCCTTTGGAGGAGTGGGAGGGGCAAGCAGAGCTTGGATCTGGGATCCCTGGAGCTGCACCCTGGCAGCCTTGAGCATCAATACGGGGAGATGTCACACCTGCCTTGAAGTGACCGGGCTCCTCTGCTTCATCCATCAGGTCAAAGTGTGGTTCCAGAACCGAAGGATGAAGTGGAAGCGTGTAAAGGGGGGCCAGCCCATCTCCCCTCATGGGCAGGACCCTGAAGATGGGGACTCCACAGCCTCTCCAAGTTCAGAGTGAGATTCTCCATGGTGAAAAAAGGACCAAAGACTGAGCCCCTTACCCCAAAACCCACACCCCAATCCTACCTTCATCTTCTCCCGACCACCTCACGCTCTTCTCTACATCTTGCAGTGACTCTTGGATTTGAAACTGCCCGGCATTCTGGGAGCCTTGAATCTTCCCAGAAAGTTCTGCCTAACACTGCTCTGTCTGAGCATCCCCTCCTCCAGGGTCTTTGCTTCCCACAGTTTTCATGGAATGATACAGCAGCCCTACCGGACCCGAGTCAATCTGGGGCACAGCTCCAGGGACACTACCATTCAGCATCTCTTGGCTGCTGCCCACAGCTCCTCCTACCACCTTCCTTTATACCAGCCAGGCCTCTGCCAGGTCTGGACACCATCTGACCCGCTGGGATAAGAGCCTTGGGTTCACTCATAAAAACAAATGCTCCAAAAGAAAGGAAATGACTCACACACTCACACACTCTCTCACACACACACACACACACACACACACACACACACACACACACGCGGCCACCTTTCTGAGCCCTGTATCTGAGACTTCGGGGCCTTCAGTTGTCCCAAAACCCCAGGGAGGAGGGCTGAGGACAGAAATTCAGCTGCTACAAATCAGAAACCAGTCCCTGTCTCCAAATTTGTGGGCTGAGTGGGCAAGTTTACGAGCACTGGCTGGAAGAAGACAGTTGGGAAGACAGCCTGGTGGAGGTCTGAGAATGGACCCAGGACAGAATCTGCTTCTTCAGAACCAATTCAGGGATACAACTGGGATGGCTGAGCAGAGCCCCAGAACAACAGAGCAGCTCTTCCTTTTAATCCACTATTTCTGGATTAAAAACCTTGCAGATGCTCACATTGTTGAGCTCGGGGCTGGGATGTATTCTCTGTGTTCAGAGGATGGAGAGATCACACAAGGGCAGCTAGAACATGGCACCCCAGAATGGAAGTTCCTCCAGCTGCAGTGTCCTGTGCTCTCAAGGGACTCTGCCCACAAATGGCAACAAAAAACCAGTCCCTCTTTCTCCATGGGATGCATTCGAACTCCTTCCATGTGTTCCACAAATGCTGTTATGATGGAAGGAGCTGCTAAGGTTATGTGTGTGCCAGATCTTCTGGCGCCAAAGATGGAACTGACAGCCAAAGAGCCTGGGGAGGCCAAAGCCGTGGAAAGGGACCCACTGCCTGCCTCAGTTCTCTGTCTCCCAATACCAGCTGGTATTGCAGAGGGAGGTCAGCAAAAGTTTGGAGCTTTTGTGTGTAGATTTAATCATCACATGTGAAAAAGAACCCTACCTCCACATCCTAAAAGGACAAACGCTGTGGGAAATGATTGCCAAATGAGATGGCTGGTTTGAGCACCTGTAATTTTTTTCAAAAGCATGTTTCATGTATTTTCTTAAGATTACATCCAGTTAACAGTACAAGGTCAATTCGCTTAGCAAGAACACTCTTGGAAAAAATAAAATCAATAAAAAAGCAAAGTTCCTAAGCCTTTTTCCTTGAAGAGCTAAGAACCACAGCTCTGTATGCAGTCCGCAGATGCTTGTGTAACGACTGGCCAGACAATGTCTAGAAGCAACTAAGAAAGGGAAGAAATCTCTAGACCAAGGTACCTCCATTGGGTTCTTCAAAATGGGGTACAAATATAATCGTAAAAAAACCTCTTCTGCCTCCCCATGCAATTGCTCTGTCTTCATTTCCCTCTACAATTTTAACTTACAGTTTCCCTAAGCTATGGCTTATCAAATAGTCAAAGTTCTGTAAACAAAAGATAAAGTCTCTTGTTACTAAAGCAATCTTGACCATAAACTGCCCCTACTTTTTAAATTCAAAGTTTGGAGGGTTTGTTTTTCAGAGTAAAACAATACACACCAATAATAATAAAAACGAGGAAAGAAAAACTGCCCTCAATTCTATGTCTTTTTAATTTAAAAGATTTGTTTCACCAAAAAAGATGTCAACAATGGACAAATTAGAACTGGCTAGAGAGACGGGAGGGAGGGAGCCAGGAGAGGGGACCTGGCCCCGGGTTTGGCACTGAGGCCGTCTGGGCCTGGTATGGACAGTGACCAGAAATGACTTCAGCAGCAGCTGGCAGAGGAAAGCAGACCCACCAAAATCAAGATGCCAAAGGGAAGGTTCAGATTCAAGGCCAAGCATCACTGACACCCTTAGGCACTCCGACTCTCCCTCCTAGCCCAGCTCCCGTGGCTTCAGGGGCCATCAACCTCTCCAGGCTTTCCTTGTCTGTCTAGAATGGTCCTTCTCTGCCTCCCAGGCAGACCTCTTTTTCAGTGCTCTTACCTTCACTGCTGGTTCCCAAGCTTTCCTCTTTCTGCCCACTGCCTTCCCCCCTTCACCCTACCCAGATGATCCCATCTACCTCTGTTTACCGTGTTGTGGTAAAGTATACATAACATTTTAACCATTTTTAAGTGTCCAGTTCTGTGGTATTAAGTGCTTAACGTGCCACTATCCCTCTTCCGGACATTTTCATTTTCCCAGCCTGAAGCTCTGCACCCATTCAAATCATAACTCCTCGTTTCTATCCACCTACGTATCTATGGTGTTTACTCTATGTTGGGCCCTGTTCTAAGTGCTTTACATGTAGCAATTAGGTTAATTCTCTTAACAATCCTAAAAGGTAATCCTAGTGTTCCTGTTTCACAAAGGAGGTAACCAAAGCTGAGAGCTGATAAGCCCCCAAGGGTTTATCTAGAAGCTGTGGTAGGCACAGGACTGGGCCCAACTGTCTCCCTCCTCCACGAGGGGAATGCGGCTCCCTGACATTGCCATGTGCTGTACCTCCCGCGGAAGGATTATACTTCCCCACCTCATTGACATCAGGCTTGTCCATGTGACTGGCTTTGGTCCATAGAATATGAGCAGAAGTGCTGGGCACCCATCTAAGCAGAAGTTTGAGAGTCCTCCCATGGCTCTGCCATTGAACTTCTCCCTCTCCATGAGGCTAAGATGTAGACTCTGCCCTTAGCCTGGGCTCCAGAATGAGAAAGACATGGAACAGAGCCAAAGCTGACCCAAAACCTTCATATACGTTGGTGAGGATATGAAAGTTGGTTACTGTAAGCCACTGGGATTTGGGGTCATTTGTCACTGCTGCACCACCTCATGAAAACGGACCGGTGATCAAGCTGGGATTTGAATCCAGGCTTTCTGGCACCTGATCTAGGAGCTTTGGTTTTTATGTTCTGCTGCTCACTGCCCTTTGCCCCCTGGATGACTGCAGGAATCCCAAACTCAAAACATCTGAAGGGGCAATCTCTATTAACCTGATTTTCTGAATTCTGTATTCTGAGCCCTCTGTTTTAGTTGGCAACCTACCCACTCACTCATTCTAGAAACCTGAGTTACGTTGTCGATACCTCTTTGCAGAACCAGAATTACCAGGTCCTGCTTATTTCACATTCTATGTAGATGTTTCTCATACCCACTGCAGTCTTTGTCTTCCCACCACCGCTTTTGTTCAGGCTGTCAACATCTTTCCCTGAATTAAGGCCGCCAACAGCTCTCCCTCCTTCTGATCTGAGGCTCCTCAAAGTCCATCCCCTAGAGTAATCACAATCAAACACACACACACACACACACACACACACACACACACACACACACACACACAATCCAGCCTTGTCACCCCAATTTAAAATCTATAACCTACAAAATAAAGTTAAAAACCCTTCACGGGCCTCCAAGGTTCCCATGCTCTGGCCCCTGTCTCCCTCTACAGCCTCATCCCACCACCTCCTGCCACAACCCTGTGCTCCAGTAATACTAAGCCATTCACCCTTCCGTGTACACACACCAGCCCTGCATGTGATTTCTCTCCTACATTCCCTTGCTTATTCCCTTCTGTTTGGAACACTACCAGATCTGGACCCTGCAAGAATTTAAGCACTCTAGGAGCCCTTAAAGGGACAAATGAAAAGAAACACAGAAGAAGTTTTAACATGTAAATATGGCCAACTAATCTTCAACAGTAGGCTGATGCCTGACATCAGGCAGCAACATTAGCCAGTTCCTAAAATCAATAGAAAAAAAACCTCTTTCAATGTGAGAATTTTAATTTCCCCAATAAATACAGTTAATAAGCCCATAGGGAGAGTCTGTTGGTGAACTTAAAGGCACATGCACACATCAGTTGAGTGTTTCCTGGGTTCTTTTGGTCGCTCTGGGCACGCCTCCCAGTCTTCAGAATTGGCATTTGATTGACCAGCGCTGGGTGAATGGTAGCTGCGACCAACTGCTCCTCAAGTTGTTAAAAATGCTCAGCTTCACCTCAGCTGCAAAGCTGTACAAGAGAAGCAAGGCCACCCACTGGTGACTCCCTGATGTGAACCAGTGACTGGTGGCTTGGTAGGAATCCAAACCAAGAATCCCCAGACAGTAACTTCTCAGTAATGGGACTCTCTGTCCTTGAGAGAGCAACAAGGATGAGCAAATGTGTGCTGCCCCTTGGAGAGAGGCAGAGAGATGAGAGAGGGATGAGGTGAGCCAAGAATCCATTTCCAAGGGAAAGGGCCCAGGAGGACCCAAGGCTTCAGAAATCTACCCACCTCCCTGGGCCAGGACCTGGAAATGACAGCTCCTCTATTCCAAGAAAGGAATGGGTATCAGGCAGGGATCCACTCTTTCCTATCTGTAGCCCCAAAGTGCCACAGTTCCAGTAACTAGGGGAGCTCATGGGGGTTGGCTGTCTTTCCTTCTATTAAGTGGAAATGTTTTCCATGAAGACCGATATATTCCCCAGCCAGGCAGATGGGCCTGTGCTGGCTGATCCCTTACAATCACCGAAGCAGCAAGTGCTGACTGTGCTTTCTCTTGGCCACCACAGCACTGGGCTCTCACCATGTTCTTTGTCTTGCTAGTCGCACTTTCTCCATCCATTGACCTCAAGCCCTGAACAGACCTCTTCACAAATACCTCAAATCCATGCACTTCTCCAATGCTACCATCATCCGTGGCCTCTACTGTCCTTTTATCTCTGTCATCTCGCCTTGTACATTTGCCTTTATGGCTGTTATGCAATATATAATTCTTTTCTTTGTTGTCCACTTATTCATTTGTAGTCTGAATTCCAAGCTGGAGGGAAATAAACGGGAAGTGTTTCTGTGACCATTTTATTCCCAGCTATTAACATGATGCCTGGCATATAATAAATGCTCAATAGATAGTTATTGCATGGATGGACAGATAGATGGGTGGGTGGTGGGATGGGTGTATGAAGGAATTGTTAAATTAGTGATATCACCTGGCTTCTCAGCTCACAAGTGCCCATTGCTGGTCACATGGACCACAAAGGGGAAGCTCCAGGCCAGAAGCTGGTTATACTGGCTGGCTTGATGCAGTCAGGCCTCCAGGGACCTAGTCTGACAGGCCAGACCTTTGACCAAAAAAGGGTCATTGGGTACTCATTCTGTTTCTATGGCCCAGAAGAACTGACTTTGATCCTGGCCATAGGACCAAGATTCTCTGTCACTCACATCCCTACTCCCAGCGCTGAATCCTGTCTGTAGTCCAAATGAGCCTCTGCCCTTTTACCTGCAGTTGGCAAAGAAATAGTGCCCACGGCCTGACCACTGTCAAGAGCAAGACTCAGAGGCCTGACTGATAAGAGATCTGTGAGCCTCTCATGCACGTCTCCAAGGGCGATGCTTAATAGCTTGAAAGTGACATCAGGGTCGGGACTGACATCCGATTGAACAGAAAGAGACATGACCTAACTCGTCTCTCGCCATGGGCCTGGCTGAGAGAGCCTCTCTTTATTAATTTCCTAACCGGAGCTGCTGGCTCAGGATTCCAGCCTGTCCCCAGAGCTGGGGCTCACAGCTGGGCTTAACTCCAGCCTTCCTGAGCAGGGAACAGGCTCAGCCAGGTCTGAGAGCCCCTTGAAGGGCAGCTGCCATGGAATCTGTGCTCATCTTGGCCAGAGCCGGAAGGCGGGTTTTTTGCACCATCCAGCATATTCACCATGCTTTGAGAAAATCCAGCAGGGCAAATTCAAAGTCTCTAAACAATTCCCTGTGGTACAGAAGAAAACTTACTGCAGACTTCCATCAAGCTGCAGGCTTCCCCAGTGCCTGCGAAGGATGGTTTTATTTGCATTTTTAAAAATGATTTAAAACCAGTTTTCCAGGAACACAAATCCTGTCTAAAGCACCGGCACACCTGGCTGAAGAGCTGCAGGCCTGTGTCTGAGCTCCTGGTGGGGCCACACTCTCTTCAGGTTGTTTCCTTTTCATATTCTCTGCATTGCAGGAGGAGAACTCCCTTGCTCCTCATCACCATTCCTCCCTCAGCTCCCACCACACACACGCACGCACACATGCACACACACGCACACACGCACACACGCTTCAGTTACTGACAGACTGAGGTTCCAGCACACACTCTTCCATGAATTGGCTGTGTGACTTCCATCAAGTCATTAAACTTTTCTGAGCCTAGTTTCTTCGTCCCAGTGGCCTGCAGAAGTTGTGTAGCTTGAGAACATTTGTTGAAAAATGCTTCTACAAAGTAGAAATCATATTTTACTCACAGGCTGTTGGGAAGACTAGATTCATTTATTCATTCCTTCATTCATTCACCAAAAATCTTTCTTGTGTGCCAACCGTGTGTTAGGTCCTGGACATGGTGAGTAGAGACAGAGCTAGCCTATATCGAGAACAATGGGGTCAGATCTGCAGAGCACCTACCACAGCACCTGGCTTGGAGTGAGCCCTCAGGAAGGTGGGATTCTCTCTCTCTCTCCATCTCACCCACCCACATACACACCACATACCCCATGTTCTAGATAGAGTTTTCTTCTTCTACAGAGAGG